GAAGATACTTTGTAATTTGTAATTTCTCGAATCGTTGAGGTTAGGTAGTTAAGGCAAAATTGTCCAAAAAGAGCAGCGCATACGTTTTTTTAGCGAGTTGGCGTGTACATTTGCTTTTCTCTCTATTACCTGTCAAAAAAATTCATTAAATTAAATCGAGTTATCTTTTAATAAGCAATGCTACCCACTACCTAGTGATCTCTATACAACTGAAACGATAGCTTCTGACAAACAACTCTATTCCGAACAAAAAAACGAGGAATTTTCAGATATTTTTTAGATATTTCCCTTTAAGTTAAAGCCTGGAAATTTCTAAATATAAAAGCACCTCCATGAATTAACATAGAGTTTGTATTCATGCCATTTTATAGTCCAGATTTTAATTCCAATGGCTTTAATTCCAATTCCTCCAAGACCTCACCACCGTCATTGTGATGAAATGGACAATTGGTCATAACTATGACATCACCAGCTTCCAAGCACGGTCGTCCAGTACTTAGATCCAACGACTGAAATGCATCTTCAAAGAATCGTATAAATTCTAAAGTTTTTGACGGACCGTTTACTGTGCACGCGTACGTAACCGCTGTCAAACTGCACAAAAGGCTAAGTGTTACATTGGCTGTTTGGGAGCATAATCATACGACCCTTTTTTTATATATACCCACCTCGACTGCTCTCTTTTCGACTTTGGCGTGACCATAATCTCGTGATCCATTACCTGGAAGCTTTATTCCACACTCATCAAAATACTTAAGCGTATACGGATCTTTTCCGTACAGATAGTCCACGAAAAGCTGCGTATAAGCCATGTTAGCAATTGTGAAACGTTCTTCAGCCACAGTCGTAATTTTTTCAACGAAAATTGTCCACGCGGTAATTTATATTGGACCGGACTAGGGCCTAATTCCACGAGCGCTTTTTCTCGGCGAAATTCGAAATATTTCGCCAGTTTGTTTTGAATTGTGACCACTTAAATACACTACTTAATCTGCTTGATTTCTCACAATTCAAAACGAGCAGGCAAATAATTTTATATCGAATTTCCCTTCAAAATTTTGCCGTGGAACCAGGGCTTTACAGAGAGAGGTTACCGACGTATTTGCCTTCTGGTAGATCTCCGAACTCAAATATAAGCACTCCATAATTTCTGAATTTGTAATAGACCGATACTGCGTTTTTAGAATATCGATCATGCAACTGAATATCACCATCGGACAAACCGGGCGGCGCCATAGTTTTGATACTATCGCATTAGAATCTGAGCGAAACTCCCTATAAAAGCACCTGTACCTTTATTGCCTCCCCTATAAATAGGATTTCGTCAATAATACTACTTCTTCTGTTAGGCGAGAGGGCCTTCCCATTTTGAAAACAACGACCTTTCTTGTTTGTTCGCCACATTCTATATTAATCCAACTAACGTAAGTCCACCCTTAGTAACGATGTCATTTGACCCGAGAGACTGAGTCGAAGGCTGAGTAAAAACAGATTTCTGGCCTACCTATGGCCAATGAGGACGCTGTTGATTACAAATCCCTCCACGTAGACAACACGTGCACGCGCATAATTACCAACAAAACGCCCAACGTCGACCATGCACTAAATACCCGGGTGTAATAAATCTCTCAGCGGAATTAGTACCCTCGGAGGGCGTTCCACGCCGGATCGGAAAAGGCACTTACTGATCGCTTTTTAAATGGAAAATGAGAAATAGTCGTTCTCGAATGCAGGTTTTTGCCGAACAAGCTTCACCCCCACTTGGGTAAGACAACATTTATTTCGTAATCTTCTTGGTATGGATTCCGATAAAATCTTCTCAAGCAGATGATCATAAAAAAGTTTCGAATGAATCAAAGGTATAAGGCGAATATGAAAGCGTATGCAGTTAAACCAGCGTGAAAATAGATGTTGGGTAAACTTAATGAAATCAACCAAATGAAGATTGATGTCAGAATAATTCTTTTGTTGGTCACTTTAATTATCACGATAAGTATTCGGTCTTCTCGCAGCCAGATATCGTTCAACTGCCAAACTTGTAAGACTGAGGATCGATGCCGTGCGTGACTTAAAGTAAGCCATGTGGGTTAAGATTAGTTCTTGAGGATCTTTATTCTTCCTGAGTCCTTCTTTAATGGTATAATAAGGCAAGTAAGGCTCGGTAATAACTCCAACAATTAAATCAGCTACTGATAGATTAACGATCAACCAGTTGAATGAAGTTTTTGTACGGATCAAATACAACAGCAAAAATGTTAAGAAGATTGCCTGGGATGTTGGTAAGAATGAAGGCAATTGATACGCTGGCTGTCGTAAATGCTAATTCAATTGGAGGTGCGCCTGCCTGACATCTTTCTTCAAAGGTGTTTTCGATGACCATGCATGGTAACAATTCTGCAGAATAAGAAATTAATGACTTATCAGTGTCACTGTTTTCGGTACATGAATATAACAAAGGAGCAGTGTAGCTGCGTGTTCCAGCAATTTCTCATCAAATATGACTTAAGTTATACAAAACGCGTCTCGACGTTCCAATTGAGAGATGAAATAAACGATCCGTAAGTTCCCAGTAAATAGTCCTCACAAAAATTGCTTTTCAGCTACATAATCTAGTTCCACAGTTCGGTCAAGACTTTCACAAAATAACAAAAATCTCACTATTGTACAACTTTTGCGCCAAAACATAGCTACATAATATATGTAAACAAAGCAGCTTCAAGCAGTAGTTCTGTGCCTGTGGTATTGTTTGCAACATGTCGTGTAAAAAATTGTACAGGGAATCGGGAAGTCGGAACTGCAAAGACCCTGTGGAACTAGATTACATAATATAGTTAACTATATAATTTATTAATAAATACATGCATTCAATTTCAAACCAACGAAGCAATTTCTTGAGCTGGGGAGATTAAAGCTCATATTATGAAATAACGCAAATGATTTGATAGCTATACGATTTAGTGCAAAATTAGTCATTAACGTACAGTATAAAAATCACCCGTTTTTCTGCTTCAAGCAGACTTTTATGGACTCCCGCAGCTTAAGTAAACGTTAAAAATTTAAGCTTCTAACCATCAAAACAGTACAAAATCTTCAAGGACTAAACGTCGAATGTTATCTTTCGAATATTTATTCAATGACAATGAGTGCAGCTCGGATTCTAGTCGACTCAATAAAACTGGTGACATTTGTGGTGACATTTACTCAATTATTCAATTATTTTTTACTTTCAAAAACCTTTTTGAAGCTAAAGCAATGGTGTAATAGCCTTTCATAGTCGGTCTTGTCTTTTCAAAACGACTTAAAATGATACAAAATTCAAAAATCATTATGGCGAGTCAAAAACGTAGCTTGAACTAGTTTATAATATGATGATAAGCGTATACAATATTTTATCGCGGTTATGCTGATAAGAATTCTCTCCCGAGTTAAGATCGCACATAAGTTACGTAAGTGCGAAAATGAAGTATCAGGCACTTGCATAGGATGAAACCGCTGTTCTATTGTACTTGTGCTCAAAAAATCATCCTGACAAGCAAAAATCAATGAAGTAAATTAGTACCCTTGGAGGGCGTTCCACGCCGAATCGGGAAAAAATATTTGTCTTGGTGAACTATTTTATGGGCATTTATCAATCGATTTTGTAGCTCGAAAAGTGCGAAAAGTCGTTCTCGAATGCGGTTTTTTCCGAACATGCTTCACCCCCGCTTGGGTACGACAACATTTATTTCGCAATCTTCTCGTTATAGATTCCGATAAAATCTTTTCAAGCAGTTGATCATAACTGTGACTAATTCTAGGCAGAGTATTCGGGCGGCCCGCATTATTGATTCATAAAATGTACGACCTAGTATAAAAACCAAGTTGACTGCGCGCGTGAACACTAGCCTCCTTCGCAGGCATCTCTTATGTATTTATATTAGGCATTTATATTTGGCTTGGGTTAGCTGTGTCGGGGAAGGCGAGAAAAAAAAATTTGCCACATTTTTCCTCGCCTTCCCCGACACAGCTAACCGAAGCTAAATATAAATGCCTAATATAAATACATAAGAGATGCCTGCGGAGGAGGCTACGTGAACACAATGTTTAACGAAATAAATTAATAACCGCTTTCAGTGTTACTTATTTAAAACTTGTCGTCTCATTATCATTATCAATGTCTTAATACCAATTAGCGCTACAAAAGTGCCTTGTCTAAATCATACCCAATGGAAATTCTGAATGTTGAACGTGTAAATCCAAGCAAGAAAATTTTCAGCCCAAAAAAAGCTTGAAAGATCATTGTAAAATTTCACTTAATCCCTAGTTATCTTGTTGACAAAAGCTTTTAGCAATAAATACGTTTAAATTTGACATTTTTATCGATTTTATAACTTACCCCGCAGTTCTTTCCTTTGAAAAATTTTTCGAAGGAATCAAAGGTATAAGGTCAGTATAATTAGTTTGTGGCTATAGAAATTTTAAAAACCATGTGATAAAACGGTTTACTGAAGCCTATGATTTATACTTTTACGATGGATGCAGCTGAATCTTCATGCATATAAAATTTGTCAATTATCCGTTGGGCGAATAAGACATTTTAATTTAACAGTCAAGTACATGTACTCATGTAGCAAACACTATACATATAAATGTTTAACACATGCACCTAAACAAAAGTTAAATTTGGTCGCTTACTCTCAAATACATCGATTTTGAGCAAGTTTCATACTGTATTTGAAATTGGTATTCTCTCAAATCATTAAGGTTAGATAGTTAAAGCGAAATTGTCCAACGATAGCGGCGTTCTACGTTTTCTTGGCGAGTTGGCGTATACATTTGCTTTTCGCTCTATTACCTGTCAATAATTCATTAAATTAAATCGAGTTATCTTTTAATAAGCAATGCTACATCATATATTCATATTGAAATCAATGATTTTCATAATTATTTTCTAAACTCTTTACGTCTTAGCTACATAGTTACCCGCAGTATTCGGTTGAAGGACAAATTTTCTATCTTAGCTACAGTTCTATACCATCATCACGTCGACGATTGATCCGTAGCAATTTAGCAAATGCACTTCTGAATCTGGGAGATCTTAAAGCATAGCAGAAAAAGTTAACAGATGAATTCATCAAAGCAAACAAAATATGGATATCACGGAACCAGTGAAGAGTCGTACAACTGCAGCCTTCACAAAAATTTACGAAATATATCATCACCGTAGAGGGACCATAACAGCACAGGAGAGCTATAAGAACGATCAGAAACATTTGAGTGATTTTGGCTTCCAAGAGTTGTTTCTTTGCTGCCATACAATCTACATTGAATGTTGACTGATTTTCATCATGTGAGATTTCATTTGCGTCTGCTGAGGTGGAAGAAGTTGTTTCAATTCTCAAACTGCGGGATCTTAACTTTCTCCTCATTAAAGTGTAGGTTATGCAAATTATCATAAAAGCAACTGCAATGGAGGTGTTGGCGAATATGAATGCGTATGCAGTGAAACCAACGTGAAAATAGATGTTGGGTAAACTTAATGAAATCAACCAAATGAAGATTGTTGTCAGAATAATTCTTTTGTTGGTCACTTTGTCACGATAAGTATTCGGATTTCTCACAGCCAGATATCGTTCAACTGCCAAACTTGTAAGACTGAGGATCGACGCCGTGCATGAGATGAAGTAAGCCATGTGGGTTAAGGTTAGTTCCTTAGGATCTTCATTCCTCCTGAGTCCTTCTTTAATGGTGTAATAAGCCAAGTAAGGCTCAGTAATAACTCCGACAATCAAATCAGCTACTGATAGATTAACGATTAACCAGTTGAATGGAGTTCGTAGGTTTTTGTTCGGATCAAATACAACCGCAAAAATGTTAAGAAGATTGCCTGGGATGTTGGTAAGAATGAAGGCAATTGATATGCTGGCAGTCATAAATGCTAATTCAATTGGAGGTGCGCCGGCCTGACATCTTTCGTCAAAGGTGCTTTCGATGACCATGGTAGCAATTCTGCAGAATAAAAAATTAAAGAATTATCAGTGTCGTCACTGTTAGCAGTGTGGCTACATGTTCGAGCAACTTCTTACCAATGGCCTAAAAGCTGCTTTCCAATGTCACATTTTTTGCACGTATACGTACACGGACGTAAAAGCTTAAAACCTTTCAAGTCGTTGTATAATTTACGCCAGAAAAAAACACATACTAAATCATCAACGGTGTCCAACACAACGTATCTATTCAATCGTTGATTTCATAACTCATAAATATCGTTTAAATTATTTCAAACTTATACGTACGTCTACGCGTAAGTACAAAAAACGCGACAGGGGAAAACAGCCGTAAGATAGAACGTCTCGGCGTTCCGACACTAGCATTTTTGGTTGTTTACGGCTATCGCTGCTTCCGGAGTTTGGGCAGACAGGTCTAATTTTAATGTCCGAGACACGATGAATACGAGAGGTTTATCGTGAGGTTTAACACACCTGCAGCAGGGACGAAACTAGAGCGATGATGATTGGGGGAATGAAATTCTGCAAGTTAAAGGCGTGAAAGAATAGTGGCTTCCATGTAAATTAAATTCATGGTTGCGTTGATGACGAAAGCTTTTAGAGGTTAATATACTTATATACTTATAATATACTTATATTTTGAAATTTTTACTTAAAAACTTACCTCAGAGTTCTTTCTATGAAAAGCTATTCGAATGGAACAAAAGTAAGGTCTGTAAGAAAAGTTTACTGCCGTGACTTTTAACAATTACTTGCCGGTAAGTAGATAACCCCCCCCATATAGCTAGCAAAGGGTGCCGACACAATAGGTTCACGTGAACAAAAATCACGATTCACGTGGAGAAAGACCATGCGTTTGCACGTGGGCATGGGTCTTGGATCATGTGAACAAAGAAGCCATGATTCACGTGGACAATGACCATGAGGTACATGTGAACAGGGATCATAGATCATGTGGGATGGAGATTTTCCATCACGTGAATAGGGATCATTGAACATACAGTAGGATGCATTTAGAGTGTAAATGAGATCATTTACAATTATTTTAATATGTTATAAAATTTAAAAGATAATTCACAAATTTCTTCTGCTTTTGCCTCGTTCACGGAGATCCATACCAGCCAAGAAGTATTTTATAATTTTAATATAGTATAAACCTTTTTTTAAAAAAACCCGACTATTCTTACATGGAATATTTCGGTTCACAAACACAAAAAAAATATAGTCCAAGAAATACTCCAAACATTTTGCTAAATTAGTTCCTTTCTGCCTAGAGTATACGTCCATCAATTGCAAGTATGGCAGCGCGAATATTTGTTCAAATTCTGTTTTGTGGGTTTGCTGTACTTTAGCACATCATATGCTTCGCCAACTGCTTGCCAAAGCCTAGTTTTGTTTTCCTCTGCTTTTGCCTCGCTTACGCAGATCCACCAACCAAGCGATCTGGCTTCCTTCTGCTGATTTTTTCAATTTTAATTTCCTCTGTATGAACTTTAGTAATGTTAGCCATAATCTCATCTCTGGCTAAAGTTTTCACTGTTGTTAAATCAGCACCGTACATATTTGTTTAAATGAATGAGTCATTTTAGAATGAGTACATTGGTGCTTAAGAAATGTAAATGAATAGATTTCGCACGGTTGCACACATCAAGTCAGATCCTGTTTACACTGTACCCGATTCGCATGGTCACGACATCAGTTTAAGTTGTTTTACCGTATATTTGTCCCCCAGAACTTTTTTCATTTGTCAGATCATGCTAAAGTAGCCATGCCACCAAACGTTTGGAGGTGAAACTCCCGTTGACATGATTAATTTTGATGTCGTGACCATGCGAATCGGGACTAAGAGGCTACTTTGGGGATGTAAATTAGGCGCTTGCAAAATTAAATGCGTGGGAAGAGCACGTTGTGGATGTAAATGAGGCCGGCTAGCAAAATGATATGCATGAAGAGAGCACGTTGTGGATGTAAATGAGGGGCGTGCGAAATTAGACAAACGTGGGTATGCTAAAGAGGAATGTGAGACCACATGAACAGAGTGTGCAAGTGGTGTGATTAACACGTCGTCCACGCAATGAATAATCCTTGAAAGTAATATGGGTTACAATTTTGTGGAATGAGCCGATGAGCACATGCGCTTAACTGCTCATAATTGCTCGTAACTGCTCATAACTGCTCATGAGAACATGCTCAACCGCTCGTAGACATTTTTAATACCAAACTATTAAGTAGTATTAATATCAGATTTAAGTAGATTTTGAAGGCAAAATGGGTTGCAATTTGGCGCAATGAGCGTATGAGCATGTGCTCATAACTGCTTATGGACACATGCTCATAGCCACTCATAGCTGCTCATAGCTGCTCATAGCTGCTCATAGCTGCTCATAGCTGTTCATAGCTGCTCATAGCTGCTCATGACTGCTCATGACTGCTCATGAGAACATGCTCAACCGCTCGTAGACATTTTTAATACCAAACTATTAAGTAGTATTAATATCAGATTTGGGTAGATTTTGAAGGCAAAATGGGTTGCAATTTGGCGCAATGAGCGTATGAGCATGTGCTCATAACTGCTCATAGCTGCTCATAGCTGCTCATAGCTGCTCATAGCTGTTCATAGCTGCTCATAGCTGCTCATGACTGCTCATGAGAACATGCTCAACCGCTCGTAGACATTTTTAATACCAAACTATTAAGTAGTATTAATATCAGATTTGGGTAGATTTTGAAGGCAAAATGGGTTGCAATTTGGCGCAATGAGCGTATGAGCATGTGCTCATAACTGCTCATAGCTGCTCATAGCTGCTCATAGCTGCTCATAGCTGCTCATAGCTGCTCATAGCTGCTCATGAGTTAATCGGCTTCTGTGCTCATAAAATTCAGTTACTGCTCAATAACAAACCATTTTTACACAATCAGTCCTAAGGGAATGAGCTGCCAGTTTTGCGGGAAACACTTTAGACGCGGTTACAATCTGCGCAGACACGAACGGGAATATTGTCCACTAAAACAGCAAGAAAGAGGCATGTCTCGAAGAAACTCGGACAGTCAAGAAAGGGATTTGCAGGACGATGTCTCGACCAACTCATCTGTAAAGTCTGAAAGTTTGATGACGACTGACTCAGAAACTGAAGAAAAAATGGATCCATGGATACCCCTAATAGAAGAAGCAAAGCAAAAAAATAATACAGATTTTGAAGAAATGAAAGAAAGCCTTATAAACACTGGCCTGGATGAGCAATCTGCTAAGGAGAAAGCTTACTCGAATATTATGCCTATACTCCAGAAAGAATTGGAAAATATTTATTTGGAACGCCTTCTGTGGATGAGACAACTAAAGAAAGATCCAGTACATAAGAAAATAATGCACACAAAAGATGCGTTCGTTGAAAATGACGATTTTGATCCAGAAGAGGCAATAGAAGCTGCTGTTGATAAAAGAAAGTTTCTTATTAAAAGGCTTTTAAACAATCACCAGGTTGAGGATGAAGAAGAAAATACAGATAGCGATGATGATGATTAGAAATAATGATTTACTAAACCATTCTTATAAAGAAACCATGAAAAACGAACAAAAAGAGATAAAAAACGATTTAGAAGAAATTATTATAACAGAAAAATAAATGTTAAAATCGTTATTCCAATGATTGTCTTTGTTATTTCGTTCAACCAGTATGTTACTTTTTTGGCCTAATACTAGTAATAGTTTAATTTCGACTATTAAAAATTGGCAATGAGAAGTTGAGCAAAATGAGCTATGACCAGCTATGAGCGACTAATATGAGCAGCTATGAGCAGCTATGAGCGGCTATGAGCAACTATGAGCAACTATGAGCAGCTATGAGCAGCTATGAGCAGCTATGAGCAGCTATGAGCAGCTATGAGTGGCTATGAGCATGTGTCCATGAGCAGTTATGAGCACATGCTCATACGCTCATTGCGCCAAATTGCAACCCATTTTGCCTTCAAAATCTACTTAAATCTGATATTAATACTACTTAATAGTTTGGTATTAAAAATGTCTACGAGCGGTTGAGCATGTTCTCATGAGCAGTTATGAGCAGTTACGAGCAATTATGAGCAGTTAAGCGCATGTGCTCATCGGCTCATTCCACAAAATTGTAACCCATATTACTTTCAAGGATTATTCATTGCGTGGACGACGTGTTAATCACACCACTTGCACACTCTGTTCATGTGGTCTCACATTCCTCTTTAGCATACCCACGTTTGTCTAATTTCGCACGCCCCTCATTTACATCCACAACGTGCTCTCTTCATGCATATCATTTTGCTAGCCGGCCTCATTTACATCCACAACGTGCTCTTCCCACGCATTTAATTTTGCAAGCGCCTAATTTACATCCCCAAAGTAGCCTCTTAGTCCCGATTCGCATGGTCACGACATCAAAATTAATCATGTCAACGGGAGTTTCACCTCCAAACGTTTGGTGGCATGGCTACTTTAGCATGATCTGACAAATGAAAAAAGTTCTGGGGGACAAATATACGGTAAAACAACTTAAACTGATGTCGTGACCATGCGAATCGGGTACAGTGTAAACAGGATCTGACTTGATGTGTGCAACCGTGCGAAATCTATTCATTTACATTTCTTAAGCACCAATGTACTCATTCTAAAATGACTCATTCATTTAAACAAATATGTACGGTGCTGATTTAACAACAGTGAAAACTTTAGCCAGAGATGAGATTATGGCTAACATTACTAAAGTTCATACAGAGGAAATTAAAATTGAAAAAATCAGCAGAAGGAAGCCAGATCGCTTGTGGTGGATCTGCGTAGCGAGGCAAAAGCAGAGGAAAACAAAACTAGGCTTTGGCAAGCAGTTGGCGAAGCATAATGTGCGAAGTACAGCAAAACCCACAAAACAGAATTGAACAAATATCGCGCGCCATACTTGCAATGATGGACGTATACTCTAGGCAGAAAGGAACTAATTTAGCAAAATGTTTGGAGTATGCTGGACTAGTATTTTTGTGTTTGGAACGAAATATTCCATGTAAGAATAGTCGGGTTAAAAAAAGGTTTATACATATAAAATTATAAAATACTTCTTGGCTGGTATGGATCTCCGTGAACGAGGCAAAAGCAGAAGAAATTTGTGAATTATCTTTTAAATTTTATAACATATTAAAATAATTGTAAATGATCTCATTTACACTCTAAATGCATCCTACTGTATGTTCAATGATCCCTATTCACGTGATGGAAAATCTCCATCCCACATGATCTATGATCCCTGTTCACATGTACCTCATGGTCATTGTCCACGTGAATCATGGCTTCTTTGTTCACATGATCCAAGACCCATGCCCACGTGCAAACGCATGGTCTTTCTCCACGTGAATCGTGATTTTTGTTCACGTGAACCTATTGTGTCGGCACCCTTTGCTAGCTATATGGGGGGGGTGATCTACTCCGGTAAAAGAGATTGCTGAAACCGGATACTTTTTCGACGGACTCTCGCGACTCTCGCAGAAAGTGCAGCTGTATATCTCAATGCAGGTAAAATGCTTTGTCATTTATTCCTTTTAATTAACGTTCAAGTGAGCTCTTACAGCAAACACTATAGCTATACGTAATTGTTAAAGAAATTGAAACAAAAATTAATTTTGTTGCTTGTTCTGAAATTGAAAACATATCATGCAAATTCATGGAAGTTTATAGAAGAATATGAAATTTGCGTTTTTCTTAATCGCTAAGGCAAAATGGTAAAATTAAACCTATCCGGGGATGAAAAGTTACCTATATTTTTTCTGGGCACTCTAACTTCCTATTTACTTTATCACCTGTCAAAAACTCATTAGATTCATTAAACAATTTCCTTTTGATAAGGAAAGTTACATCAATATTATATTCATTTTGGAGTCAATAATGCTTCTGCATGCAATCTGATTGGTTAACGTTGAAACTTGAAAATAACGTGTTATTTTTGGAAGAATTTGAGTGCAATTAACGCAAAAATCATACGTCGAGTCAAAATCAACGGATCGCCTTGCGGGGGGCTGATTTATTAACCATTTAATTCGTTCTATTATCCATGCAGTATCTATTATCTTCTGTAATCAAAAAGTACAATTTATTGAACTTCAATATAATTAATAAATTTTTATCACAGCAACACGTATATCACATACACGCAACATCGTATCATCTTAAACTAAATTAATTGAAGCTATCTAACACAAGAATCAATCACTCAGGCTGATAAATTATAGAACTCGACTGGCACGTAACAAGTGATTTCTCAAGAAATTTGATCTTGTATAAATAAACGACCTAGATTTCAGACTGCTGCAAAATAATGTAAAATATTATGATTTTTAATATATGCTACGGTTGAGAATACGTTATGGCTTAAACTCTCCCCACGGGTCTTATTTTTTTAATAACCGTACGTAATATAATGGTACGTAATAAATTGTAATGGTACGTAATATAATTGTACATGCTTGTTATGAACGAACTTATTACGATCATCGGCCTCCTATGCCTATTGCCATGCGAAAATATTTTAGAAAATTATTTTCTTGGTTTATAATAACTGAATATAATTAAAATCACTCGCACCGTAGCTAGAAGCTTAATTGGGCGGAGGATGCATAATTATCGTCTTATGCCAGCGGCTGATTTCTTTTGTACGCTATTTGTTCCTATAAATATGATATTGTAAATCTGATCATATTAATATGCACCCCCCCAGCAATTAATCGGTAGCTAGGGGCCGGCCGTTTTAGAGGTACGTATAAAGAAGTAATTTAGGCCATCTTTTATTTTAGACTTGTGTTATTTACAATTACAACATGAAGGTGTATTGTTTACATTCTTCATGCGCAGATTAGAACTTTTATTACAATAGCTTGGCGATAAGAAGTCATAAAAAACATACAAATTAAGCTCACGTCGCCTTAACGGCTTATCTCTTTTGTTTTCTTTCTGCCTCCGCAGGCAAAAAGCCTTTAAAAGCCTGTTTATGCGGGCGGTTTGGGCTTCAAAAAAATCTGACAATGTTTCATCTGACAATTTTTCAGGTGATGTGTAACTCCAAAAAAAGTAAAGTGCTCTAATCTAATTGAATTTAATTTCAGATCACCGACTTCAAATTTGTTGATAATTTCTTGGGTACACTATGATGTCACACTATTATCACAAACGGAATTTGGTTTACATTCATATAGAATACCAAAAATTTGGTGAGCAAAAAAGAATTAAAATGCTCATACAAAAGATCTATATCTTGCACGAAAGATGTGAAGCTTGCACACGGTGAAAACAAATCGCCCCAGTTGATAACCTTAGTACATACTAAAAATTGACCTGCATTTATCGCTGCAGATGCTTTTCATGAACTTTCAAAAGATTGCAGCCTACGCATCCAGGGGTTGTTCAAAGCTAGGTTAGCGCTAACCCTGGATTAATTTTTAACTTGTATATATTGTTTTTTTATTTTGTGTGCTTTTTAACCAGTGTTCGTTTTTAAAACTTAAGAAAATATTACTTCTATTTGTCCAAAAAGTATTTATGAAAAAATTTATTGAATTTGTAAACAGCCAATTAAAAAAAGTAACGCAAAGATTTGTTTTAACCCAGGGTAAATGTAACCGGCTTTTGAACAAACGGCCCCAGAGGGAAATTTGAACTTAAAATTGTTTTAAATTATCCTGTAGTATAGAGAGAAAAACAGAAATGCATAAATGTGAACTATTGATGAGTTTTCGAGTTCAAATTTCATAAACATTAATTTTTGCGATGTCCATCATCAGGTTGATGATTTATTCGTAGCAATTTAGCAAAAGCACTTCTGAATCTGGAAGACCTTAAAGCATAGCAGAAAAAGTTAACAGATGAATTCATGAGAGCAAACAGAATATGAATATCACAGAACCAATGAAGGATTTTACAACTGCAATCTTCACAGAAATTTGCAAAATATATCATTGCAGTTGAGGGACCATAACAGCACAGGAGAGCAATAAGAACGATCAAAAACATTTCGGTGATTTTGTCTTCTAGGAGTTGCTTCTTTGCCGCAATACAATTTGTATTAAAAGTTGAGAAATCGTCGATTTGTGAGATTTCATTTCCGTCATTTGACGCGAAAGGGGTTGCTTTTCTCTTTAAAGAGCGGGATCTCAATTTTTTTTTCATTAAAGTGTATGTTATACAAATAATTATAACAGCAACTAGGAGTGATGTGTTGGCAAATATAAATGCGTATGCACCGAAACCAACAAGCAGATAAATGTTGGGTAAGCTTGCCGAAATCAACCAAATCATTAGTCCCCGAGCCGGTGCGGAGCACCGTGCGAGGGTACTAATTCCGCTCGGATATTTACACCCACGATGTGCAAATGCGAAATCAAAGTCGTCCGCCATTATGCAATGGACCTCACGCCATGGACGGTCTTCTACGTTATACGCATGCGCCAGTGTGAACTACCAAGCTCTTGATTGGTCGAGAAAAAAATTTGTATTTTCAAACGTCAATGAATAACTGTCATTTCGCAAAATTTTGATGAAATTTATAAATTTATGTTTTCATAAATATGGAAAATATGTATTTTTTAATTAAAGTAGAGGGAAACTCGAATGTAGTCAAGACTTTTCACGGTTTAACAAATAACAAGACCGAATTTTCGACCGAATTCACCGTGTATAATGAAGTCGGAAGATTTTACACTTGATAATATTTCATCCGGCACAGCTTTAAAAAGTAATTCTTTTGTGGTAAACACAACTTTAATATTCTCAAATGTATTTCACTATAAATCTAAATGTGTTATGTGATAAACGACATTATAATTTCATTTATAAACTCCGTTTTCATAATGACAAAAAGAAAAGAAAATCAAAACATTCCCGTGCAAAAACCAGTCAAAGCGTATTATAGAACTTCGGAAGTTGTATGAGACGTCTGATGTTATATTTCATGGTATTTAATAAGTAAAATAATTTACCATAACACTGACTATAGATGAGTAACTTAACTTCCAGAGAAAGGTAAGAATCTTGTCGTATTTTTGCCATTTTTTCGCAAAAATATGAGGGTAAACTTTGATTCTTTTTAAAAAAATATACGGCCGTTGCCGAGTTGCTATGACTACAGTGTTTCCACGTGCAGAAAAATATTTCCATACTTTCCTCAATTTCTATTTCTCAAATATCATGTACCCTCCAAGACCCCCAACCCACATAAATTTTCTAACAATCATGTTACCATCCCTACGCTTAACTAATATCGTTTTACCGAGGCGAGGGGTTGCTGCATGCATGTATTTCTAGTATAGTCAATAAAATTCATTGATTGGTGACATTACTTCGGTAGGTACTTGGCCTTCTCACAGCGAGATATCGTTCAACTGCCAAACTTGTAAGACTGAGGATCGAAGCAGTGCATGAGATGAAGTAAAATATTCCACCCGCATAACGTTCTTCAAGAACTTCTTTTTTCCCGAGTCCTTCTTTGATATGAAAATATACAAAGAAAGGTTCAGCGATGATGCCAACAATTAAATCGGCCGCTGATAGATTGATAATTAACCAGTTAAATGGAGTTCGTAAGTTTTTGTTTGGATCAAGTACAACAGCCAAGAAAATAAGAATATTGCCAGGGATATTGGTAAGCATGAAAATAGTTGAAATGCTGGCTGTCATAAATGATAACTCTTGTGGAGGTTCAACATTCTGACATCTTTTCTCAAATGTACTTTCTATCACCATGATGAAAATTCTACAAGAAGACCATTTAAATTGTTTAATGCACGATTTTCTGTTTTTACTAAATAAAGTTGCTTTTGAAATATTACACGATTCATTTTATTTCTTACATTTTATTTCTCTGAGAACCTAACTAAAACAACACGGATTCATTTTCAGATTTCGCGCCACAAGGAAGTGACTCTAGTCTAGAAAATGTGAAATGCTTGACAGACAGGTCATGCAGGTTTGAATTTTGATGTAAAATGTTACTTCAGAGCTTTTAAGGTGGATCGCAAAAAATATTTTATGTTTAGTACTTGTACATTTTGCACTTCCTAATGTCTCAAATCATAACTAATCATAATCATAATCAAATCAAATCATAATCATAATCATAATCTAACAGAAGAAGTATACTTCTTTTGTTAGGCGAGAGGGGCTTTCCGTTTTGAAAACAACGACCTTTCTTGTTTACTCGCCACATTCTATATAAATTCAACAAACGTGAGTCCACCCTTAGCAACGATGTCATTTGACCCTAGAAATAGTTCATTTTAAACGTCCCAACGGGCTTTGAGAACGCATGCTATTTACGGTCAAACGGAATCGGCTGTGACAATCGTTCCTCTTTCAACGCTTATTCTGTTTATTATGTCCACAAAGTAGTTATCGTTTAGCTTTCATCCCATTTTTTTCATATCTTATTGTGTATAAAATCATAAAACGCTTGTTACAAAAAAATTTTCGAAATGACAGTTAAATTACTGACGATCTCATTGGATTACACATTTTTGTCTTAGCCAATCAGGGCGCATTATTACCAAAACGCCCAACGTCGACGACCGTCCACTAAATATCCGGGTGTAATAAATCTCTCAGCAGAATTAGTACCCTCGCAGAGCGTTCCACGCCGGATCGGAAAAAGATATTTGTCAGGGCGAGCTATTTTCTGGGCACTTACCGATCGCTTTTTTTATCTCGAAAATGAGAAAGAGTCGTTCTCGAATGCAGGTTTTTGCCAAACATGCTTCACCGCCGCTTGGGTAAGACAACATTTATTTTGCGATCTTCTCGTCATAGATTCCGATAAAATCCTCTCAAGCAGATGATCATAACTATGACTAATCGTAGACAGAGTATTCGGGCGGCCCGCATTATTGATTCATAAAATGTACGACCTAGTATAAAAACCAAGTTGACTGCGTGAACACCATGTTGAACGAAATATAGAAGAATAACCGCTTTCAGTGTCATGATGCATGCGATAGCTGCATGGAATTGCCCATTTAAAACGTTTCGTCTCATTATCATTATGAATGTCTATAATACCAAAGTGCCAGTACCTACAAAAGTGCCTTGTTTAAATCATACCCAAGGGAGATCCTGAATGTTGAACTTTTAAAATGTAAATCCAAGCGAGAAAATTTTCAGCCCAACAAAAACTTGAAAGAACACTGTTAAATTTCACTTCATCACTAGTTACCTTGTTGACAAAAGGTTTAACAACAAAATATAGGTTTAAATGTGACAGTTAAAATTTGACATTTTTTTCTATTCAAAACTTACCTCGCAGTTCTTTCCTTTTAAGAAATTTTCGAATGAAACAAAGATGTAATGTCAGTATAATGAGTTTGCGCCTATAGAAATGAAGCCTATACTTCTTCGACGGATGTCAACTTTATATCGCAACAACGTGCAGCTGAATCTTGATGCAAATAAAATATGTTGTCAATTATCCGTTGGCCGAATTAAGACATCTTAATTTAACAGTCAAGTAGATGTACTCCTGTAGCAAACACTTTACATACAATCGTTTAACACACCTAAACATAAGTGAAATTTGGTCGCTTACTCTGAAATTTTGGGCAAGTTTTATACTGTATATATTTGTAGATACGTTCCAATATAACCAGGCAGAAGCGTGGCAGCGTCTTCAAACAACTTAGTATCAAATGTGGTATAATTATATATATTATATTATATAAAAATAGACAAAACACTTCTCGACGTTTCGACCTAAGTGCCTTCGTCAGGAGACTAACTCTCCTGACGAAGGCCCTCAGGTCGAAACGTCGAGAAGAGTTTTGTCTATTTTAGGCAGTTGTTATACCACTGTATTTGTAATTTGTATTTTCTTGAATCGTTAAGGTTAGGTAGTTAAAGCAAAATTGTCCGAAGGCGAAGAGAGCGGTGTATACGTTTTCTTGGCGTGTTGGCGTATACATTTGCTTTTCGCTCTATTACCTGTCAAAAATTTAATTAAATTAAATCGAGTTATCTTTTAACAAGACGCCTGTTCTGGCTCACCGGCGTGCCGCGCATGTGCCAGTCCTTCAATATAAAGCTTCTGAACATAAACAAGACAGTTCGTATTCATTTCGATTCCTTGCGAACCTAAAATGTTGTTCGATCGCAAGATTCAGAGGCACATCGTACTTAAAAAAGTATAAAAGTTCAATTGTTCAAAACTGTAAAATTTTAGTAAACCGCATGATACATTCACTTTGTCTTACACTTTGCCTTTGGAATTCGCGCTTATATAGTTATATTAAATCTTCAATCCTGTGCAAACTGTGACGTGTCAATGCGCCCATACACGACCACATCTTGTTAAACGATGACTCAGTAGGAGCGATATTATTAAAATAGGACAAAATGCACATGTATTGAATGTATTCGTACAATAATTAAGTCTAAACCTAATCGAACAGCATCAAAAGAACGGGTTATTTGTTCCTCTTGGAGGAATTGCCGTATCATGCGAGCAAAATCGAATTGCGCATCGGAAAATTAGCCAAAGCTGTGCACCACAACTTTTTGGGAGACAAAACTGGGACGTAGATAAATACGGTCACATACACATTTTAAATACTCGTGTATTTCGCGCCAAAACAGACTTGCGATAACGACCTGGATAACGAACGCATCTACAGAAGGCAAAAGTAAAGCCGGAAGTGATCCGGCCGCCACGCGATTCAAACGCCCCACTTTTGTATCATTTAATACAGATTTCTATTACAGAACCGTAGTTTTTTGCTTGGTTCATGTCTCTATCCGGGCCAATTTTACAATCAAGAACATAGAAGCATACGAGAAGAAATTTGAGCAAAAAATTTGGAATATTTCGACTTCATAACATTTTTTGCTCAGACCTCTTCTCGTATGCTTCTATGTTTGTGATTGTAAAATTGGCCCGGGCAGAAGCGTGGACATGGCAAAAAAGGCAAAAAACTACGGTTCTGTAATATAAATCTATATTGAATTATACAAAAGTGGGGGCTTTGAATCGGGTGGCACCCGGATCACTTCCGGCCTCACTTTTGCCTTCTATAGATGCGTTATACAGTCTTATTTCAGATTAGTGATGCTACATCATATATTCATATTGAAATAAATGATCTTCATAATTAATTTTTTCTAAACTCTAATTTCTAAAGTCTTGACTAGTATTGGGTTGAAAAACAAACTCTCTATGTCAGCTACAGTTCTATATACCATCATCACGTCGACGATTGATCCGAAGCAATTTAGCAAATGCACTTCTGAATCTGGCAGATCTTAAAGCATAGCAGAAGAAGTTAACGCTTGAATTCATCACAGCAAACAAAACATGGATATCACGGAACCAGTGAAGAGTCGTACAACTGCAGTCTTCACAAAAATTTACCAAATATATCATCACGGCAGAAGGACCATAACAGCACAGGAGAGCAATAAGAACGATCAGAAACATTTGAGTGATTTTGGCTTCCAAGATTTGTTTCTTTGCTTCGATACAATCTACATTTGTCGTCGACTGCTTTTCATCATGTGAGATTTCATTTGCGTCTGCTGTGGTTGAGGAAGTTGTTTCAATTCTCAAAGTGCGGGATCTTAACTTTCTCCTCATTAAAGTGTAGGTTACACAAATTATCATAACAGCAACTGCAATGGAGGTGTTGGCGAATATGAATGCTATGCAGTGAAACCAACGTGAAAATAAATGTTGGGTAAACTTAATGAAATCAACCAAATGAAGATTGTTGTCAGAATAATTCTTTTGTTGGTCACTTTATTTCGGTAGGTATTCGGATTTCTCACAGCCAGATATCGTTCAACTGCCAAACTTGTAAGACTGAGGATCGACGCCGTGCATGAGATGAAGTAAGCCATGTGGGTTAAGATTAGTTCTTGAGGATCTTCATTCTTCCTGAGTCCTTCTTTAATGGTATAATAAGCCAAGTAAGGCTCAGTAATAACTCCGACAATTAAATCAGCTACTGATAGATTAACGATCAACCAGTTGAATGGAGTTCGTAGGTTTTTGTTCGGATCAAATACAACAGCAAAAATGTTAAGAAGATTGCCTGGGATGTTGGTAAGAATGAAGGCAATTGATATGCTGGCTGTCATAAATGCTAATTCAATTGGAGGTACGCCTGCCTGACATCTTTGGTCAAAGGTGCTTTCGATGAACATGGTAGCAATTCTGCAGAATAAAAAAATAATGAATTATCAGTGTCGTCACTGTTTTCAGTATATCAATATAACAAAGGAGCAGGGTGGCTACATGTTCTAGCAACTTCTCACCAATATGGCCTAAGGGCTGCCTTCCAATGTCGCTTTTTTGCACGTACGTACACGGACGTAAAACCTTAAAACCTTTGAAGTTGTTGTATAATTTACGCCAGAAAAAAAACACATACTAAATCATCAACGGTGTCCAACACTATGTTTCTATTCAATCGTTTATTTCATAACTCATAAATATCATTTCAATTATTTCAAACTTTTACGTACGTCCACACGTAAGTACAAAAAACGCGACAGAGGAAAACAGCCGTAAGATAGAACATCTCGGCGGTTCCGACATTTGTATTTTTGGTTGTTTACGGCTATCGCTGCTTCCGGAGTTTGGGCAGACTGATCTAATTTTAATGCCCGAGACACGATGAATACGAGAGGTTTATCGTGGGGTTTAACACACCTGCAGCAGGGACGAAACTAGAGCGATGATGATTGGGGGATGAAATTCTGCAAGTTAAAGGCGTGAAAATATAGTGGCTTCCATGTAAATAAAATTCATGTTGTGTTGATGACGAAAACTTTTAGAGGTTAATATACTTAATTTTGACATTTTTACTTCATAACTTACCTCAGAGTTCTTTCTATGAGAAGCTATTCGAATGGGACAAAAGTGAGGTCTGCAAGATAAGTTTACTGCCGTGACTTTTAACAATTATGTGCCGGTAAAAGAGATTGCTGAAACCGGACACTTCTTCGACGTACTCTCGGCGACTCTTGCAGAAAATGCAGCTGTGTGTATATCCCGATGCATGTAAAATGCTTTGTCATTTATTCCTTTTAATTTAACGTTCAAGTGAGCTCTTACAGCAAACACTATAGCTATACGTAATTGTTAAAGAAATTGAAACAAAAATTAATTTTGTTGCTTGTTCTGAAATTGAAAACATATGCAAATTCATAGAAGTTTATAAAAGAATATGTAATTTGTGTTTTCTTAATCGCTAAGGCAAAATGGTTAAAGTGAAACTGTCCGGGGGTGGATAACTATCTATATTTTTTCTGGGGCACTGTAACTTCCTATTTACTTTATCACCTGTACGTCCAAAACTCGTTAGATTCATTTAACAAATGAATTTCCTATCGATAAGGAAAGTTACATCAATTATACTCATTTTGGAGTTAATAATGCTTCTGCATGCAATATGATTGGTTAAAGTTGAAACTTGAAAATAACGTGTTATTATTGAAAGAATTTGAGTGCAATTAACGTAGAAATCATACGTCGAGTCAAAATCAACGGATCGCTTTGCGGGGGTTGATTTATTAACCATTCAATTCGTTCTATTATCCATGCAGTATCTATTATCTTCTGTAATCAAAAAGTAGAATTTATTGAACTTCAAATCTTCAATGTAGTTATTTTAAAAATTTTTATCATAGCAACACGTATATTGCATACACTACAGTTATTAGAATATACATGGTTTGGAGACTAGATGGAAGTACAATACAACTCATTATCTCTGTTATTCCCCAGGTTTATGCAAAAAATGGTTCCTTATCCGTATATGTTTATTGTATTTTTGCCCAACTAACCAATAGCAATGGCTTGGCTTAGCTCCTCAACCATGACTTGAACAACATGTTAATTCAGACCTTACTATTGGTTTCTTTGTTCAAATTACAATAGACACGTGATGAATAAGGAACAATGTTTCGATTTTGAATTCAAAAATAAAAAAAGTGGAAGCACGAAGGACGTGCAAGAAACACATTCGAAAGAACACGGGACATTTTGAAAAGGGTCTTCAAACATTATACTATAAATATGTGAAAACTAATCCATTTTTTTCTGCTCAACGGAACTACAGCTAGGAAAGGCTCACGAAAATTGTGAGTAACTGATTTATTCATTCAAAGCTTACATATATATCATGTATTTATCAAGTAATTGGGGATGTATTTTTTGTTGTAGTTGACTTCATTATTTATTCATCTGTGTAATGTCTTCATGATGGCACAAGAATAAAAATAAGTACAAAAAATAAGTGGCCTAAATCCTCTGGGAAGTCCAATAAAGTAGTGCTTCGAATCGAAAGTGCGAAACAAACAATTTTTTGCATAAATAGTTAATTTCTGCGTTATTTAATATAGACCAGAATAAGGCTTTAAATTTAATTTACAAACGACGTTTCGGAGTTTACTCCATCATCAGGTTAAGATAATCAGATTATAAATCTGAAGAAGGAGGCATATTTTGTAATTTAGACTTGTGTTATTTACAATTACAACACGGAGGTGTATTGTTTACATTCTTCATGCGTAGATTAGAGTTTTTATTACAATAGCCTGGCAATCAGAAGTCACAAACAACAAACAGAGCTCACGTCGCCTTGAAAGGCTTATCTCTTTTGTTTTCTCTCTGCCTTCGCAGACAAAACGCCTTTAAAAGCCTGTTTATGCTAGCGGTTTGGGCTTCAAAAAAATCTGACAATGTTTCATCTGACAATTTTTCAGGTGATGTGTAACTCCAAAAAAAGTAAAGTGCTCTAATCTAATTGAATTTAATTTCAGATCACCGACTTCAAATTTGTTGATAATTTCTTGGGTACACTATGATGTCACACTATTATCACAAACGGAATTTGGTTTACATTCATATAGAATACCAAAAATTTGGTGAGCAAAAAAGAATTAAAATGCTCATACAAAAGATCTATATCTTGCACGAAAGATGTGAAGCTTGCACACGGTGAAAACAAATCGCCCCAGTTGATAACCTTAGTACATACTAAAAATTGACCTGCATTTATCGCTGCAGATGCTTTTCATGAACTTTCAAAAGATTGCAGCCTACGCATCCAGGGGTTGTTCAAAGCTAGGTTAGCGCTAACCCTGGATTAATTTTTAACTTGTATATATTGTTTTTTTATTTTTTGTGCTTTTTAACCAGTGTTCGTTTTTAAAACTTAAGAAAATATTACTTCTATCTATCCAAAAAGTATTTATGAAAAAATTTACTGAATTTGTAAACAGCCGATTAAAAAAAAGTAATGCAAAGATTTGTTTTAACCCATGGTTAATGTAACCGGCTTTTGAACAACCAGCCCCAGAGGGAAATTTGAACTTAAAATTGCTTTAAATTATCCTGTAGTATAGAGAGAAAAACAGAAATGCACAAATGTGAACTATATTGATGAGTTTTTCGAGTTCAAATTTCATAAACATTAATTTTTGCGATGTCCATCATCAGGCTGATGATTGATTCGTAGCAATTTAGCAAAAGCACTTCTGAATCTGGAAGACCTTAAAGCATAGCAGAAAAAGTTAACAGATGAATTCATGAGAGCAAACAGAATATGAATATCACGGAACCAGTGAAGGATTTTACAACTGCAATCTTCACAGAAATTTGCAAAATATATCATCACAGTTGAGGGACCATAACAGCACAAGAGAGCAATAAGAACAATCAGAAACATTTCGGTGATTTTGTCTTCTAAGAGTTGCCTCTTTGCCGCGATACAATTTGTATTAAAAGTTGAGAAATCGTCGATTTGTGAGATTTCATTTCCGTCATTTGACGCGAAAGGGGTTGCTTTTCTCTTTAAAGAGCGGGATCTCAATTTTTTTTTCATTAAAGTGTATGTTATACAAATAATTATAACAGCAACTAGGAGTGACGTGTTGGAAAATATAAATGCGTATGCACCGAAACCAACAAGCAGATAAATGTTGGGTAAGCTTGCCGAAATCAACCAAATCATTACTATTGTCAATAAAATTCGGTGATTGGTGACATTACTTCGGTAGGTACTTGGTCTTCTCACAGCGAGATATCGTTCAACCGCCAAACTTGTAAGACTGAGGATCGAAGCAGTGCATGAGATGAAGTAAAATATTCCACCCGCATAACGTTCTTCAAGAGCTTCTTTTTTCCCAAGTCCTTCTTTGATATGAAAATATACAAAGAAAGGTTCTGCGATGATGCCAACGATTAAATCGGCCGCTGATAGATTGATAATTAACCAGTTAAATGGAGTTCGTAAGTTTTTGTTTGGATCAAGTACAACAGCCAAGAAAATAAGAATATTGCCCGGGATATTGGTAAGCATGAAAACAGTTGAAATGCTGGCTGTCATAAATGATAACTCTTGTGGAGGTTCAACATTCTGACATCTTTTCTCAAACGTACTTTCAATCACCATGTTGAAAATTCTACAGGAAAATATCCATGTTAGATTGTTTTAATGCGACCGTTTTAGACAAGCTTTTGCTTTGCGTTTTAAAAATTATATGATTACTACACATCGTCGCCTCGGTTGGGATGAATTTTATCTTTAAAATCATCAAAATAATTTTCATCAATATGGGCCAAGTGTTTACAGGGATTCCCAAATTGCAATAAAATTCTTAAAAGTCATCTGCCTCGCAAGAATGAGTGCATGGTATTGTATGCAGTGTTTGCCGAATTTTTATAAACTGTCGTGTGCTTATAAACCTCCTTAATAATAATGATTAGTGCTTCCAGCAATAAATATAACTCAAATTTGAAATACATGCATGCGTGTATGTCTCATTAAAAAATTACCTTATAATGTAGTACTTTTGTGGTATATTAACAAATGGCGCGTTTTTTATTACGGTTTGAACAAGATCACAAAATCGGTTTGTCAAAAACACTTTTTCAAAACACTTTGAAAGTGCAGCTGCCTGTCTCTACTACACTGGAAATTTCGGTTCATAAATATATATTTAAAGTCCTTTTTGGGCACATTTTGAAATATATAGGTAATCTAATTCGTCGTATAATCAATTATTGATTTTATAACTATAAGAGCATTGAAAATTTTAAATTTCTCTTTTTAGGGACAGTTTTAAAGCAGCTTCACGAATGAGAGCTGTGCAAAACTTGCACATGCTGTTTGCATGTTTATTCTACTGAGACACAATGACGCTTGCCTTGGACGCTTTATCTTTCAACACATTTCGCTATGATGACATATATATATAGTCAACTTTGGGAAACTCAGATCTATATCCGCATAAAATTTAGTTGTAGCTACATATTTCTTAGAGAATGGTCTTGTAAATGACCAGAATAAACGAGAAAGATCGAATATGCAGAATATAATTATTATGCATCCATTCAAATGTAATTGACTTCAACACGTACGACTCAGCGTATAAAATGATTATTATTCGATGAATTTTATATTAATTATCAAAAACATAAAATAATGGCCGAACCTTATAAGAATTGTACTGTATTGCATACAACTCTGAAATTTTCTCTTCATTAAATATAATGCACCTAAAAGTTTGAACTCGTTGACGAAAGGAGTTTATAATGGCCTGAGATCATTAGTGCGATAGCAAACAGTTGAGAAGAGCAGGCTGGTCGATGTCTTAACTGCTGCACATGTATACTCACGAGTAACCCCAAAAACGTACAAATGTCCCTCTTCAATCGAGTCAAAAAGGGTGTTTGTTGCATTTTGCGTTCAGAATTTCATGTGTTCAATGTTTAGCCACACAATGTAAAAAGTACATTAAAATAATATTCGAATTCTATTGTCAGTATCGCCGTTTTATTCATCAGTCTTAGCCCGCCTACTTAAAACGTGCATATTAAAAGTATATATTATATACGTTAAGGGTATAAAGGTATAAAACTTTTTTTCCTAAAAATTTAATAGCTCTAGTAATTGCTATAATCATTAGCTGCCAAAGAATACTTAAATATTATTATTCTGTACAAACTAAACAAATACCAGAAAATGTCGATAATTTAGATGATTTCGATAAATAAAACTTACCTTTCCAGGGAAAAATGTCCAAACTTGGAAAATAGTGTCGGTATAATTATTGAGATAGGATTGGAAAATAAACCAAATGGGTTACTTTTTTTAAATGACCGAATTCGAACGAGGCAGCGTGCAGCTGTATTTGATATCCAATGATAATTATCGAAATATTTAAATTTCTAAGTTGTGTCAAGAGGTTGGCTTCTCATTTGTCTCCTGGGTTACGCTGACGCATTTCTACGTATTAAGCAAACGTGGAGCAAAAAATTCAATGCCCGCTCACCCCCCCCCCTCAAAATCGGCCCCCACTTTCAACAGGTCTGCCTCTATCTTTTTAATGTCATATAACAGGTCGGTCGACGAGTAAACGTATGTAAAAAACAGCATGAAATAGAAAACTATATGAAGCTGGGGAGTATTTGAGGGACGGGAGCAATTTGATGAAATTTTTTTTCTCATTTTGTTGAAATTTTCTAAAATTGTCAGTTTTAAAATATAACGGCTGTAAAATGTCACCTGGTGAAATATGTTATTTTTCTCATTGTATATACCTTAGCACAATGGAAAGCGCTCCATATATGTACGGTCAAACTCCTCGCTCAAATCAGTGGCGCCACTCGTAATGTTTTTAGAGGAGGAAATTCTACAAAGATCCGGATGCATATATATAGCCTTTGTGTTGATTTCGAAATACATTTGTAAAAACGCGGGCGCCAGAATCAGACCTAGGTGTCGGAGAGAGGGGGGGGGGGGGCGCACAAAAGAAGCTTAAAATCCAATAACATGCAGTGTATATGTATATATTTCCGCGCTTGTAGAAAGTGATCTAGCTGTTCCTGAATTTCCCGTGTGGCTAACAAATAGGCTTTTGCATGCATACTTTGTGCTATATATATATATATATATATGCAAATGGTGTATATATGCAAATATATATATATATATATATATATATATATATATATATACATATATATATATATGTATATAAAAATCATTTCGCCTGATGATCGTTTCAGAAGAAACGTGAAACACAGAGTGTAGCGAACAATATATTCAAAATTTTGTAATATTTGATTTTATTTTAATTGCTCTATTAAATTTTGATATCGAGCACTCTTTCTTCTTGGATACTTTACTTAATTGTATATATATATATATATATATATATATATATTATTATCTATTATTATATAGATGGGGGTATTTTAGTGAGAACTAAAACAGTCGCAGAACTCATGCGCCATTCATACGGTATATACAGCGCGCGTATTTTCCGCACGTCACGAATGCTGAACGAGTGACGCGGCATAACGAGTTTCGAAATATTTCCCGCAATTTTTACTGCTGTTTTTATGAAAAAACAAACGGTCTTTGGTTCGTATATAAAACGAAATTAACGTTGGAAATACAAACTAACATTTAAAAGAGATAAGTAAAATTTACTGTGCTTTAATTTTTAGAGTATAATTTCAAAAATATTCGCTTTTATAATTGTCTTTATTTACGTGTCGTTTTTGTTTGTATTTTTGTCACTCTGAATTTTGTCCATAAAATGATAAACAGAACATTACACGGTTAAGATGTGGATTTTATGTTCGAGTGGCGAAAACAATACTCAAGAGATGTTGTTTTTGCCACTCGAGCATGAAATCCATATCTACTCGCAACGGTGTGTGTAATTCCCGAGCCGGTGCGAAGCACCGGGAGAGGATACTAATTCCGCCCGGGGTTTTAATTGCGCCCGGGAATGCAAATGCGAAATCAAAGTTGTTCGGCTGGATTATACCGCCGGATTAGAGCTATTACACGGAAACAGAAAAGTACCGGATCATTTTTCATAACACCTCCAGAGCGGAGTGATTTTTACTGTGCTGAGCATACCGGATTAAGGGGATTACTACATCCTCATGTAACTGCAACGCCTATCTGATATGGGAAGTAATCCGATACGCTACTAAACCGGTATCGTGTAACTGGGGCCAAATATAGACAGTCAGTCTTCGACCGAGGCTAACCATTTGGTTATTTAGTCCAGCTATGTAAATATCAAGTCATTGTTTAACAATTATTCGTCAAAGGCGGGGTAAATATCTAGTGTCAGGTTATTTCTGGGCAGTACTGTATATTTGTGTCCTTCTTTTAGTATAAGTAAATCATTGTAAAATGTAAACTAAAAAAAATTACTTAAACATTGTCAGTATCCTTTTCGGGCAATTAAAAAACACCGAACATTGTCTTCTGAGTGAAATATTACCTAATCACGCGATTTGGAGCTTCGAACTATATGAGGCTTGAAGTCTCTAAAATAGCTACACCATGTACAATATACAATAAATTATACAATAAATAATATACAATAAATTATACCAAATCAAAATACAGTGAAACGGAAAACTTTAGGTAAGTTTCGTCGTAAGACTTGTCAAGTTTTCAAACTTTTTACCGTCTTCGTTCATCATCTACGCTGAGAAAACCGCTGAGAAAGTTAATTAATTAGAAAATATCAAAATTCATTACAAAATTTCATAATATAAGCCTCCATCCAAAATATATAAATTTTAAACCATTTCGTTTAATGAATTTAAACCTCTATTGGGTCCAGTTGTTCTAAAGGCGTTTAGTTTCAACGGCGGATAAAACAAAGTTATCGTTTTATTTGACAAGTGAGCTGAAATTTTTTTCGAATGTAAATAGCTTAATTAATTTTCAATGGAAATGCATATTTAATGTTTAAGATGCAGGTGCAGTCATTCACAAGATATAGCATTTTTAAACTTGGCTTATCCACTGTTTAAACTAAACACATTTTAACCCCGGTCTCTGATAGTGATACTTATCGCTAAACGCCAAAAGGTGGATTACGTTTATTTAAGTAATTTGTGTAAGATTAAGGTTCTGCGTGTATACGTTGCAGTTTTGTCACGAACATACATCACAGTACGTGTTTCTTGTGAAATATCAATTTTGTGCATCTTTTTAATGTTTACTAACTTTCAACTTTGGAATCGATTGTCTCTTTAATGTATTCAAACATCTGACTTTGGAATCACATAAAAAAATTAACTAAATCGGCTTTTGATATAATTTCAGTCAAATTAAATTGTGAAATTAAATTTAATAAAAAACTGCTTTTGTCCGTTTTACGTAACCCAAATATAAAATTAAACTTTCGGCCATTTTGTTTTTGCTACTCACGATATATGAGGTGATACACAGTGAGTATATATCTCGACCAATCAGATTGCAAAATTGCTCATATACAGTGAGTAGCTATATTAAATAATGATATAAATATTATGAAATAAAATAAATGACATTATTTTGAAAAAATTTTATTCACGCATTTTCAAAATTTTCTCCATATCTTCTGTCATCGTTAATATTTCATTTAATTTTATAATATTGAGCTCATCCGAAATAATTATGTAAATATTCACGCTTGCGATTAACTAACAAATCATATAACGCCCATTACATAGGGGTCTAGAATTTGAACAACTTTGGACTTGACTTTTAAGTCGGTATTATAATATTTTAATTTCTCCAAAAATTGCCTGTTTTCTACAATCTTCTTAATACTTAAATATTACCATGGAAGGACTCACGCCTGTATTTTAAAAACTCACTCGTACTCAAACTCATTTTTTGGGAGATCACATTCTCAGTTACTTCATGCATATGCATAGCGATTCCTTTTCGGTATTTCTACTCGAGTAATTTATTTTCAAGGTGTTACCTCAAATCTTTCCATGAATTAATCTCATTGATCATTACATTAAATGAGTGCGAGTGTGCGTGAGCTTTTTTTAATACAGACGTAAGTCGTCAAGCTGGCTTTGCTACTGCAGGTAATTTACCCCCAACAATATACCCATGTTTATTCAAGTTTCTGACGGTTGCACATTTGCTTTAAACTAACTACACTGCTATTTTTTTAACGTTTTACTTAGGGATTCGAATCCCCTTATAAGAATTATGTCCCAGGTCAAAAATCCGTTTGGCCTTCGACAGTCATCTGCTCACTAATTTTGGGAAATTGATGACTCATAGACCGATAATCCCCGAGCCGGTGCGGAGCACCGTGCGAGGGTACTAATTCCCACCGGAGATTGTGAATTACACCCGGGACTCGGGAGAACATAGCGGAATCCAAAGTCGCCTAAATTTGGACCATGGACGTTCAATGGTCATGATACTTGTGCGCATGCGCGAAATGCGAACGAGTGTAGACTGGTAATCAGCAACTTCCTGATTGGCTAAGACGAAACGTTTGTGTTTCAGTGAAAAACGTCAGCAATTTAACTGTCATTTTGCAAACTATTTTTTTAAAAAATGTTTCGAAAAGACAATATGAAATGTGGAATCAAATAACAGATAAAACACTGGGAAGAGTTTAAAATAATATCAGAACTGGAAGAATTAGCGGTGAAAAGGAACAACTCGATTATAATCCTTGAAATGGTAGGAGTCTATTTTGTTTATTTCGAGGTTTATTTCGTGTTTGCTGTACGAATACATTTTATGACCTTGGTACAGTATGTCGTTTTGCTCGGTTTTGCAAAGACGTGACCGACTATTTAAGGCTCTACATCATCGTTTTAACTTCAAAAAGAGTTCTTAAAAGTGTAATTCGGAGTTTTAACATAACAAATATCACTTTAAAGGTTATAGAGTCGACTGCAATCACTGCATGCATTTAATAATCGAAAAACAACATTCGCCGTTCACTGCTTGGTTATTTATATTATTTGTGCTGTTTTGAAGGTTTAGCTATAATGAAGTATTAACTCTCACTTAAACTGTGAAAGTCTATAACTTAATGCAACGGAAAGCAGCAGGAAAACGGGTGATTTCACTTCACCTTTACGACTGTGTTTGTTTCCGAAAAAATTGAAACATCAGCTATCGGCTTTACATTTAGGACATTTCATAATATTGAAGATTAGGTCTGGCTAGCTCAGGAAATATTTTGCTTCGTTTGAAATGGCGAGGGGTTGCTGCGTGCATGTATTTCTAGTTCATAAACAACCATTGGGAGCTGCATTTTCACTTTCAATCAACAGCAACATGCAAAGAGAACTATTGTTAACTATTACCCCTTTTTTGTTAAAATAATAACTTCTGCTCTACAGGACATGGCTAACCTAATGATTTTGTTCAGAAATTAAGAACTAAAAAAACTAATGTTGTTAGGGCGAACAAAGCTAGATTTTTGTGTTAAATTGACTGTATAAATGAATAATCGTCTAATGCAAGATAGCTGAGCTAAATTGTCAGGCTGCTGCGCCATTGAGTGGAAAAACAGCTAATTTCTATGTTGCAAATATATACCATCATCACGTCAATAATTCATCCGAAACAATTTAACAAAAGCACTTCTGAATCTGGAAGATCTTAAAGCATAGCAGAAAAAGTTAACAGATGAATTCATCAAAGCAAACAAAATATGGATGTCACGGAACCAGTGAAGGGTTGTGCAACTGCAATCTTCACAGAAATTTACTAAGTATATCATAACTGTTGAAGGACCATAACAGCACAGGAGAGCAATAAGAACGATCAGAAACATTTCGGTGATTTTGGCTTCCAGCAGTTGCTTTTTTGTCACCATGCAATTCACACTGACAGAAGACTGGCCTTCATTCGGTGACATTTCATAATTTTCCTTTGTTGAATCACGGCATCTCAGCTTTCTCTTCATTAAAGCGTACGTTAAACAAATCATAATAACAGCAACGAAAAGGGAGGTGTTTGCAAATATGAATGCGTATTCAGTGAAACCAACACTGAAATAAATGTTGGGTAAACTTAACGAAATCAACCAAATCGTTACAATTGTTACTAGGATTCGTTGATTAGTCACTTTATTTCGGTAGGTATTTGGTTTTCGCACAGCTAGATATCGTTCAACTGCCAAACTTGTAAGACTGAAGATCGAAGCAGTGCATGAGATGAAGTAAGCCATGTGAATAACAATAATTTCTTCAGAACCTTGGCTGTCAAGACCCTCTTTAATATGATAATACACCGAGAGAGGTTCAGTGATGATACCAACTATGAAATCAGCCGCTGATAAATTAACGATTAACCAGTTAAATGGAATTCGTAAGTTTTTGTTAGGATCAAGAACAACAGCCAAGAAAATAAGAATATTGCCAGGGATATTGGTAACCATGAAAACAGTTGAAATGCTGGCTGTCATAAATGATAACTCATTGGGCGGTTCAACATTCTGACATCTTTTCTCAAATGTACTTTCCATCACCGTGGTAAAAATTCTACAAGAAGACCATTTAAATGGTTTAATGCACGATTTTCTTTTTATAATAATAAATAAAGTTGCTTTGAAATAATTATAACATGATCATGATATCTCCAATATACTAAAACAGATTTAAATTTCTATTCCCAGCAAAAATAATCATTGGTAGGACACGAAACAGCGGACGAAGGCACTATAATTACGCCTGGAGATTTGCAATTTCACCCGAGCATTGTGATGAAATTAAACCATGCGAAATCAAAATGTGAATGAGAATGGAGTGGTAATTAACAATTTCCTGACTTCATACAAAATAAGATGTGAAAAATAAAATAAAATCCTCAGAGAACGCTTTTCTGACCATATTATTTTATTTCTTAAATTTTATTTTCTTCGAGAACCTATCAAAACAACACGGATTTAGTTCAAGATTTTTGCGCCGGACGAAAGTGGTACTATAGTCTAGAAACTGTGAAATGTTTTACAGACAGGTCATGCAGGTTTGAATTTTAATGTAAAATATTACTTCAGAGCTTTTAAGATGGAATGCAAAAAATATTTGATGTTTAATACTTGTACATTTTGCACACTTCCTAATGTCTCAAATCATCAAAAGTTAAAATTTAAATAATTGCTTAACAGTTGCCCAAAACTGCCTGATTTATGTAGCAGAAAACGGGTATTTTTGTTTATATTTCATATATGAAATTAATATTGGCTAGCGTGTCATAATTATTATGAATAATAAATTAAAAGTGCTTTGTGTCTAAATCTCGTGTGCTAAAAATCGAGCTTTTTTATCGAATACTTTATGGTATAAAAATAATAAGATTCGATGTTCAACTCAGTAACAATATAATCATTATCTACAGTGCAGTGTCCCTCCAAAAAAGTACCCTCAACAACAAAAGAGTGATTTCAACAATATAGGGTACTTTTGAGGGACACAAGTTATTGTGCTTATATCTGCATGTAATGCTTAGGTCTAGATAAATCTTGCATCAGTGGCGTAACGTGAACGATAATTGCGGGTGTTTATATAATAATTACTCAGTTCTGCCCGCGAAGGATATTTTTTAGGCTATTGCACGAACAAAGAAATCCGCCGCGTCGGCCGGGAAGAACTGGATATGAATAAATACCCATGTTCGAGTTACACCTCTGCGTTGCACTTTTTATGCCTTAACGCATTTAAAACAGTCTAGGCCTGTGGTGGACAAAAACGTTTTTCCAATATGTTTTTCTTATATTATAAAAAAAGTAAGCCAAATTAATTAAATAATTATGAAAAATTTTAGCAATAATTATGAAAAAGCAGCAAATTTAGCTTTGTCGGTACGTGTTTCACGTTCGCCGTTTAAAATTTAATTATATTGAACGATAATATACATGCACCCTCAGCCGTTCAAGCATTAAATTTCATACGCCGAACGTGCATTCTAAATGCATCAGATATAGCTTATTGCTTTCTTACATTACTGCTGAACATCACAAGTTTTATGTAGAACGTTTATAATTCAGCGAAATTGCCGCACACTTAAATATAGTGGAGTTGAAACACAAACTTTGTTAGCGGTTTGGCGTTTGCCGTAAACGTCAAACTAAAGGTCTCTATATATTATTGGTTACGTAATACATCAGGTACCTCTGTTTTAAACCTAAATGTATACGTCTCCTTCACCCCACCTCTCACCGCCCACCCACACACACACAAACACACGAACAATGATATGGTTTTGGAAATTGCCTGCCTTTTTATAGTAGGGAGTTTTCGATGTACGACACGTCGCTGGATGTCGCCAGTCAATTATTTTGCCAAAAGTAAGCTCAGGGAAATTAATTATGCTGCCAGAACTTTGATCTATGAAATGATCATACAAACGTTTCAAAGATGTTAAGAACCTTCTTTATCTAGCTGATATTGCAGTTTCATATGCATATAAGCTAGCGAACAACTATCACGTTTCAGCTGCTTTCAGCCTTTCATGTCATCGAGAAGCCGTAAAAATGCCTCATTTAAAGTGTCGTTTTTAAAGAATGACAATCCTTCTAGCCGCGTCGTGAATCGTAAACTTCCTATAGCATATGTGTAGTGCATTTTGTCCACGTTGATAAATGCATGTTAAATGTTTTGGCAAGTGCGTAAAACTATAATAGATTAATATAAAATTGATTTACTTTTTCTACTTGCCGTTTATTATCTTAGGCAGCCTGTATAGTATATGTGCGACTAAATAAATTATAATATTCAACATATGTCGCGTTTCACACGTTTAAAAACCGTTGTGTCAATACTATAGTCTAAAAATCCATATCGATCCAGCAAAAAATTGAACTAAAGTTTTATAAAAAATTGACCGTGTAAAATATTACTAAACCATCTGCCACTTGTATGTTTAGCAGAAGAAATTAAATTAAATTTGACAAAGAACTCACCGATAATTCTTCTCTCAATAATTTTCAAAATTAACGTACAGATCCAGAGGCTTTCAGTTGATAGAAATTCAGTTGTAGTCGATTTGCCCACGAAATTTACAGATCAATTTTGAAAGTATGTGTAGCAAGCTGAAGCTACTTTTCTTAACGATTGCAAGAAAAAAAAGAACTGAAAGCTGCGGCCAAATACGTTAATATATAATAGCATAAATATATATGCTGACTTTACGGTTGTTTGTAGGTTACTAACAAGCAAAAGTGTCGCTGATCCCAAGTACCTAGCTATCTCCAACGCATGACAAAGCCAACTTGACGGATTAACCCCGCGCTGTACTAATATTTAGGTATACATTACAGGCCCACACATGCACACCGGACGCGAATTTACGAATTTTGAGTTTTCAAAAAATTGGCATGTTTTCATAGCTCTCAAAATTTTCTTCCAGAATTCAATTTGTTTGCTTTAAGAGACTGAAAATTTGGGTCGGTCGACAATAGTTTCTAGGACGTAACTTTTGTAGCTCTCCGCGTTGCCAGGCTAATGAGTATTTCAATTTTTGCCCAAAAAATTTGATTTATAAATATAATAAATAATAATTATAGAAGTGCAGAAAAACAGGCCACAACACGAAAATCTCACATATTCTCACACACTACTAAATATGTGGATTTTTCGCTTAATTTGTTTTAATTAAACCTTACCATAAAATTGGTTCATGAAATTATGCCAATTTTGAGCTGTTTTCGTTTGGTCATGGTAAGAAATGCTTGAAGAAATGAAACATTTAAAATTCGGATCATATTCACATCCATATTATTTATATACAATTATATATTGTTATATAGGTGCTGTGTATACTAATTAGTAAATGCATGTGATTGGTTCGTTCGTAGTCAAATGACTTAAAATAAATACAATGTTTTCTGCCTGAGAAACAAGTGAGAAATTGTTGCCCGTATATTTTGTGATAACTGCAAAGTGTTTTTGGAATGAGATTGTTGTGTAACATGAATGTTTTTGTTCCTGTGTAACAAAGCACTTAATGTACACTCCCTCTGGAAATAGTGAATTTTGTTTTTCCCAGTTTCAATGTTTCCCTCGATGTCGTCTCGAGAAACCTCTCGAGAAAACAAACTATTTCCCTCAGGAGCATATGATTAAGTGTATGATGATATATCTTTATAGTGAATAAATTAATAATGATTTTTGGCACTCGATGTAGGTAAATTCTAGAGGTTAAAAAGGGTCTTTATTTCGAGTGGAATTATACACACTTCAAATTCAAACCAGGAAAAGTTGATGAAAAAATGAGTCAACTATCGGTCCTCCGGCAGGAATCGAACCTACGCTTTTGCGATGCCAGTGCAATGCTCCTGCCTTAGTAAGACCCTTTAAACCTCTAGAAAATATAGTGAATAGTCTGCTTGACCGACTGATCATGGTTTCTTTTGGAAGCATTGTTCTGAGTAAAACTTAGTTATGTAAATATAAAGGTTTGCTACCTTATGAAATAAATTTTACGTGACCGAATGCTGTAGGACGTATTTTCTAACTCTAACGTATTTTCTACTGTCACTCCATCTTAATTCAACTACACGGAATTGAACCGTATAGCAATTTAACAAATGCACTTCTGAATCTGGCAGATCTTAAAGCATAGCAGAAAAAATTAATGCTTGAATTCATCAGAATAAGCAAGACATGAAGATCTCGGAACCAATGGATGGAAGCACAACTGCAATCGTGACAGAAATTTACCAAATACATCATCACTGTAGAGAGCCCATAACAGCACAGGAGAGCTGTAATTACGATCTGGAACATTTGAGTGATTTTGGCTTCTAGCAGTTGCTTCTTTATTTCGATACAATTTTTATTGACTGAAGACTGGTCTTCACTTTCTGAGATTCGATTTACACGAGCTTCGTTAGGAGCAGTTGTTTCACTATTTTTACCTCGGTATCTTAATTTCCTCCTCATTAAAGTGTAGTTTATAACAATGATTACAACAGCAACGACAATGAAGGCGTTTACAAATATGAATGCGTACGCAGTGAAACCAACAATAAAATAAATATTTGGTAAACTTAACGAAATCAACCAAATCATTGCTATTGTTGTTGGAATTCGTTGATTAGTCACTTTATTTCGGTAGGTACTTGGTCTTCTCACAGCCAGATATCGTTCAACTGCCAAACTTGTAAGACTGAGGATCGAGGCAGTGCATGAGATGAAGTAAGTCAAATGAATCAAGCTAATTATCTCTTCGGGGCCATGCTCGCCAAGACCCTCTTTAATATGATAATACACGGAGAGAGGTTCAGTGATGATGGCAACTATGAAATCAGCCGCTGATAAATTAACAATTAACCAGTTAAACGGTGTTCGTAGGTTTTTGTTGGGATCAAGAACAACAGCCAAGAAAATAAGAATATTGCCAGGGATGTTGGTAAGAATAAAAGCAGTTGAAAGGCTGGCTGTCATAAATGATAATTCATTTGGTGGTGCAACAGTCAGACATCTTTTCTCACATGTACTTTCCATCACCATGGTAAAAATTCTACAAGAAAAGAACGAATAACCAGAATTATTAATGCAAAAATAATGCGAGTGGTTACAATATCAACCGAACGGGCCACGGGAAGTTAAATTCATTGCACCGCTTGATGCTTTTTATTACTTATAACATTACTTTACTATTAATTATATGTAACTAAATTGTAATTGAAAAAAGACAAATATAGCAGTTTATTGAATTTCAACATGATTATTAAAATTTATTATAATTTAACTTAAACAGTGAAAGTACAACTCGCAAAAGGTGCGATCAATGCTCGAATCGCAATCCTCTCAGGCAGTGAAAATTAATGAAATAACCGTATTTATTATATCATATGCAGAATTTTATTGAAAAGTGATAATAACACATGTGCGATAATTAATGATAAAAACGTTCACATGTGCGATTATCGTGTTTGATCCAACAATCAGGTATACGCGCCTTGGAGAACAAAGAACTTTCCAATAAAAGGTTTCTTATTATATAATATGAATGGATATTATTCTCAAAAAGTCTATGCTATCCTCAACACTCGAAATAAATTTCATATTTTCGCACATCCATGTATTATTCTCTACATACGTAACTAATAGCTTTTCTAGACCAATCAGCATTCGGTTATCTAGTAAGCGTAATATATGTTGACTCAATCAAATTATTAATATTAATGTTTTTTTAAGTCATTTCCAAATTCTAGCATGTTAAATCAAACATATATCAACATATGTTTCGTTTCACACGATGAAACACCGTTGTGTCAACAGTAGCGTAGCCAGCCTGACGATTTGTCCCGCTATGCTAATATTCTGGTGATAATTGATTGTGAAAACAATAAATTTCTAAAGAAATGAATAATAATAATAATAAATCGAAATTTCCATTGCGGGACAAAATCGTCAGGCTGGCTACGCTAATGCGTGTCAATATTATGCTGCAGCGTTTCAGTAAATAATTTGCGACAAACAAGGATTACTCGAACAATCTATACTGTGCAAGCAAATCAAACTGAAAATTTATAAATGTTCAGCCGTGTAAAATATTACGGTCTGCCACTTTAATACATACGTAAAGTCCCGCACAGTTTTCCTTCACGGGCAAGTTTTCCTTCCCGATTTTTATTGCTCGTGCATGTGTACGCGAAAAAATTGACAAGTCATGTCAAACGCTTTTCAACAAAGAGAAATCCTCATGTGTACAGCCGTCAAGGAAAAGTTGACAAGGGGCAGTGGGGACAGCGGAATTAACAATCTTCGCGTCAATCGAGAGGGTTTTTCAAGCTCATCAATTTCTATTTGTTTTGATATTCTGTTGTATACTCGTTTTATCATGGCTCATGTTATCGTAAAACTTGTCAAATTTGTCAAATTTTTCGCGTACACACGAGCAAATAAAACTTGGCAACGAAAACTTGTTCGTCATACACACCAGCAAGTGGACTGGTCAAGAAAACTCGTGCATGAGGGAAAACTTGCCCATCCGTACGGGCTTAAAAGATACGCAAGAAATTAATTTAACAAAGAACTTACTGATATATTTCTTCTCTCGTCAAGTTTTCGTTTTCTGATAGAAGTTAATACAAGTATATTTAGAAGTACGATTTTCCAACAAATTATTTCACAGATCAATCCTAGAATAAGCAAGCTGCGGCTGTATAATTGTGTTGGTGAATGCAAATGAAAAATAACTGAGGATAAAGCGGAGCACGGCTATTTGTAGGGAAATAAAAACGACGCGTGTGTTATTGGCAGGCATTGTTTTTGCTTATTAAGTATACCTGTATATTCGGTGGCTTAGCCATACTGACGCTTCAGTCCCGCTATGCTAATATATTGGAGTTCATAAACCTTTAAAACAATCAATTTTTAAAGAAATTAATAGTTGTTATGATTTATGTGGCGAGATTAAATCGTCAGGCTGACTACCGCCACCGCATATGTCAATAGCGAATTCAAATTAATGAGGGTTAACTTATCTAAGATGGGAAACTCGTCTGATGTAATTCCGGCCAGTTTGTACACATATTTTATAAACGACTTTCTCTTTTGATGTGCAGGTTTTCCGTCCCTTATAATCAAGACAACCCGGGCAAGCAAGAATGTCGCATGGATGCATAATGTATAGAAACAGAAACTGGAAGTCATTGGCATCCAACAGATTTCAAGGCCTAACTTCTGTATTAATTACTTTAGATATTTTTTTTGTCAACTATGCAACCTTTAGAATTTTTTTCGATAGCATTAGATTTAAATAATTATTAACTCTGCGAAACCGGCTAAAATGCCTTAAAACTTAAATATAAAAAGAACCAAAAGCGTCACATTCTTTTTATTTCAACATTACTAAACACACCTCTGATTTACAACTTTTTTAAAAATTAAACATTAACAGAAATTTTGAGCATTTATTATTATATAATTATTCGATGAATTACTAATGGCCTGATCTAAACACGCGGGAATATTGCGAGAGGAAATTTACATTGCCGGATTGAGTCGTCAGGCTGTGTACGCCACCGCTGTCTAACTCCAAAAGACTCCCAAACCATTAAAATCGCCAATAACAATATGATAGCTAGGGTTTGAATGTCTAAAGTCCGTTTTTCACTTGGCGAAGCGATATTTGAAATCCAGTGCTGTGATTGGTTTGTAAAAAAAATTTCCACGAAAAGGTAGAATCGCTACTACGCACGAATATTCGCCTAGTGGAGCGAGATTAAACCGTCAGGCTGACTACCGCCACTGGAGGACGGGCTCAAGCACCCTAGGGGTAGGGATCCACAAGTGTATAAATGTTTGCGGCATAATCATTTTTTGCATGATGACAGTAAATTTTTTGTAACCACAAATAATTTTTATTGCCAATATTTACACTTTACACAGTCACGGGTTTCTTTATAAGTGTGCCTTAATTTCGGTACTTTAATACTTTTAACTGCAAAAATCAAACTGTGATCCGATATTCCAAGATGGATCACGCCAGAATTTATTATATTTTCAGATCTGTTTGTTAAAAAAAGGTCGATTAAAGTTGCCGATTCTGCGGTCACTCGTGTTGGTTCAGTGATTAATTGATCCAATTGGTATAAAGAACATGACAGTTGGAGTCTCCGCGTATGGGAGTCTAGAACTGCTTTAACAAGATCACAGTTCATATCTCCAACAATCATTAGTTCTTTATTTTCAAGATCGCATTTACACAGAAATAAATCGAGTTCATTAAAGGCGTCGTTATTGGAATTAGGCGGCCTATACCAAACACTTACTAAGAAAGCCACTCTATGTGGTCTACGTACTTCAATACATATCATTTCAAGCGTTTCTGGAAGGAGATCTTTCCTTTCAGAAAAGGATATATTTTCTCTAATGTAAAGGACTACGCCACCCCCAGATCTATTTCTATCATTGCGGATCATGTTATATCCAGCTATGTTAATTTCATTATCTGCTATTGAATCATCAATCTTTGATTCATTAATTGCAAGAATATCCAAGGAAGAATTAGTCAAAAGCACACGGAGCTCATCTATATGTTTTAGTAGGCTATTTATATTCAAACTTGCTATTTTAATACCTTTTAATTTGCTTATTGCATGCAATGGATGATCAAAAATACCTGATGCTGTGCCACACGTTAAATCAGTTAACGTTTCCCTCTGCGGATGTCCTTCTGTGGTTGTACGATTATTTTCAACAATTCTCCAAGTTTCTGAATCGTGGAACTCTGAAAATCCTGATAACGTTGTTTCTGGGATGAGGCTGGTCCACTGCTTCCCCTAAGAAAATTGATAAGATAAACGGCTAAGATGGCCGAGCTCGAGCCTTTCGCATTTAGATGAAGTTTGCCTCCATTTAGGCATGTGTCATCAATGGTTGAGTTGTCAATGAATGAGATATCCAGTTTCGTACAAATGAGCTCAAGTTCCTTGTTGACTTCGTCAATCTTTCTGGATAAAGCGAGGTCGTGTCGCACTGTTAGACCTGATAAACCAATTTTCGAATAGGGAAATTGCGATTTTACTTTTGTGGCAAGCTTTTCAATCTTTTGAGAGCATTCGGCAGCGGATTCCAAAGGGAGATTATTTGTCCCAGCATGCAAAATTACATGGGACGGGATTGCTTTTAATTTATCAAAGTTGATCTGCATTTCGATCTGATCTGCAGTTTTTCCTGGATAAGTAAACTTATGCACCTTCTTCTTTGAAAGCTTTCTTGGTTGGATATTTTTAATTATCGAGTCTCCTATAATTAAGATATCCGATCCAATTTCGTGTGTTTTAGGACTCTGTCCCTTCTTTTGGCGCACATTGGTAGATTCTTCTAGGTCATTTGTAGGATTTATTTCGTTACTCTTGGGATAATTGCCAGCCCTAATCTCTGTTTGCGTCTCGTTGTCCGATATATCGCTTGAAATCGATTATCTACATTGAGCGTGTGGGGAGTTGATGAGATTTCACTTGCTTGCTGCTTTCTGTTACAGTTTTTGTCCTTCTGTACAACTTGAAAGTTGTTAGACATTTCAGCTGAATTAGTATTCTTTTGATTTAAATTATTCAGGCAAGCTTGATAATCGTTTTGGTGAAGCGTCAGAGCGGTTACTAGATCGGTTTTCTCTTGCTCTAAATTAATAATTTTGGTGTTAAGGTCTTTTATTATACTGTTAGCTTTGTTGTTTCTCAGGTGAACCTTTTCGTTTTCACACGCGCTAATTTTGCATACTTGTGTATCTTCGTCTGCTCGATTTTTAAGTTGTAATATATCACTTTCGATACGCTTGAGTTGTAGCGCTAGGTCACAGCAATAACACTGAGAATTGTCGAATTTATGTCCACTTTTAGCATGAGGCGTTTCGATTGAAAGATTGTCCGCATTATTTAGGTTTTTGCGTTCATGCTCGTTGACATTGGTCGATGGATTTTGAACGATTTTGACCGGGTTTGAGTTTTCTTCGGCTTTGCTACACGATAGATGTTCGTCATGATAATCTTCGTCAC